ACTGAGCCAGGGTTTATGCCAGTCTGCGGTTCCAGGAAAGATTATGCTTCAACAACCAGGAAAATAGCAATTCTAGATGTCAAAGGACAAATGTCCATAAAGGCCAGAAAATGTCAGAAACAAGGAAATCTCCAGGAACTAAAAGGTAGTATGGTTAGAACAGGCAGGAGTTACTAGTAACAAGAAGACTGGTATGCAGGCAAATATTTTCCATGCCAGAAGGTTTTTTTTAATATAATCTCTGATAGGGCAGAAATCAATCCTGGGAAGTATTCTTCACTGCAGCTATATATTATACACACCTGGCAGATCCTCATACAACTACTATGATATTTCAACTCACCATACCCAGAAGATGTTGAAACTAATTTCTGCTTTAACACAGGTCCCAGAGTTCAGAGAGGATAAATGCCTCACCTATTATAACATAACTGACTTAAAGAGATGTGAACTAAGTTGTTGGGGGGTTTTTCCCAACAATATCATACTGTCTTTCATAGGGAAGATTGCATAAGTCAGTAGAGAAAATAATTTCTCTGAGGGAGTGACTGTACAGAAGGAAAAGCAGAAGGCCAGAGACTGAGCCTTGGGAGACATCTGGGGGATGAGGGTGGGAGTTAAGAAGAGGATGATGCCCAATTACTGTCAATGGAGATGCAGGAAGGGTACCAAAATAATGTCACAATTCAATAATGTCACAAAAGCCAAGGAAGAAGGAACTTTTTGAGAAAGAGGGGCTGAGAGGCCATGGGGAAAGTATTTGGATTTGGCTAGAAAGAGGTCACTGGTAAACTTGGCAAGAATAGTTTCAGTAGAAACTTTGTAAAATTAATAAAAGTAAATGGTAGTATCTGAATAGAAAGAATTCATGGGACTGATAACCCAAGATTCAATACTGACAGAAATAACATACCAAGGCACAATAATTCAAGATCCCAAGATTCTCAAGGAAATTAAGTGACAACCAGAGAAACTAAAATAAAATTTGTGTAAAATTAATGAACACAAGCTCACCCCGGAATTTTCTGTCCCGAAAAATGACAAGAGGTGGCTATTCAAAAAGCATTTAGACAGACATGTACTTCAAGAAGTCTTTGATCAAGTTGACCAAAAAAAAGAGAAGTGACATATCTCAAATCGAAATAAACCAATTCCTCACAAAATGTGAAAACCTACAAATTTAGCCAACCTATATCACTGAATGTTGTATAAGGATGTTTCAGATAAACAAAGGGAAATTTAAAAGAGTAAAAGGAAGGAAAGCAGGGTAATCCCGAGACAAAGATTCTTACTTTGATGAAGGGGAAATCCAAGCTAAGGAAATCTACTAGTATAAGACAGGAATTTTGTTTGGAATGGTTTTGTTACATTTAGCTTATTTAATTGCAATAAGAATTTTAAAAGTCTGTATTCTCTTCTGATAAATTTAGTGACAATCCCCCAAAATAACAAAGACAAATTTTAACTATCATAATATTAATTGTAAATGGGCTGAATTCTCAAAATCAATAAAATGATGGGGTAGGAGGAGAAAAAATCAGATTAAATAATAGAACCCAACAATATTCTGTTTAAAGGAAACTTAATCTAGAAAGATGCAAATTGATTCAAACTGAAAAGGTGGTCTCGAACTAAATATTGTATGGCCAAATCACCAAAAGTGGGAGTGGAACTGATGATTTGCAGAAAGTTAAATACAAACTAACAAGTGTTTAAAAGAGAGAGAAATAAAGACATTATGTTAAACTAAAAGAAGATATTTACAATAAGTGTATACTTGAACTTGAAAGATCTGTGATTTCTTCAGAGTGGGTAGCCCTCTACCAATGTATATTGAAACCCTTCTTTGATTTAGTACATGGTCTTCAAGAGTTGCTATGGCCTGAAATTTTATCACCCTGCTGGTAACCTAGTGATAAGCCTCTCCAATTTAGCTAGGTTGATCCTCAGACAAAAGACATTCAAGACATTACCAAGTACATTCAAAATAAGAGTACATCAATTTTAAATATATACGCACCTAATAATTCATTAAACTGAGAGGGAAAGCTCACACATTTGAAAGGTGAAACATATCAAAAATCATAATACAGGGGAATTTCATTGCCTTTGGAGAAAATAACAAAGGTGAATAAAGAATTAAGCAAAGTAAGTCTGATAGACATGTGGGGAGAATTCAATGGAAAAAGGAAAAACATACATTCTTTTCAAGCACACATGCAATTTACATAAAATTTGACCATGTATGCTATATAGAAAATGAAATATAAGTGAATATAGAAAAGCAATAAAGTTAGCAAATAATGATTGAATGAGCAAAAAGTTATAAGGCCATATGAAAACTTTTAAAATTGTTTCTTAAACAATGCCTATGTGAAAGGAGAAATTAGAAAAACAGATGACTTGCATCAAAGATCATGGTAATACATTATTATATATCAAGAATCCATGTGATTCAGGGCAGCTAGGTGGCACAGTGGATAGAGCACCGGCCCTGAAGTCAGGAGGACCTGAGGTCAAATCCAGCCTCAAACCCAACACTTGACACTTACTAGCTGTGTGACCTTGGGCAAGTCACTTAACCCCAATTGCCTAAAAGCCAAAAAAAAAGAATCCATGTGATTCAATGAAAGCAAGATTCAGCAGCAAATTGATAATACTAAATGTTTGGATCAATAAGCAGGAGCAAGAAAAAAACTAATGAGATGAGTCTCTACATATAATAGGCTAAAAAAAGAACAAAATTGTATACAACAGAAAAAAGTAAAAAGAGAAATAGCTAAGAACAGAGCAGAAATTAATATCATTAAAGAAAAAAATAATTTAAAAAATAAATCCAAGAGTTGAGGTTTTAAGTATAAAAATATTGATAAAATTAGAAAATTTAAAAGAATAAACCCAAATCACAGAAATGAAAAAGACCATGAGGAAAAAAAATCAAGAAAATTTTAGGATCATAGACTTGGGATTAGAAGGGACTTCAATGGTCATCTAATCTAACACAATCATTTTTTAAATTAGGAAACCAAGATTCATAGAGGTTAAGTAATTCACTCAATGTCACATAGATAATAATAACAATAAACAATCTATAACTGCTAGTGGGACTCCCTGCACTCCAGGTCTCTCCCCACTTCAATCCAGCCTCCATTCAGCCACTAAAATGATTTTCCCAAAACACAGGTCTGATTATGTCACTAGCCTACTAAATAAACTTCAGTGATGTCCTATTGCCTCCAAGAAACATATACAAAGTGCTCTGTTTGGCATTCAGAGCCCTTCATCCCAGTCCTATCTGTCCAATCTTACATTTTACTCCCTGCCAGTAGTCTTCAATCTAGTGACACCGGCCTCCTGGCTATATCAAAAACAAGACACTCCATCTCTTGGCTTAGGGTATTTTATCTGGCTGTCCTCCAGGCCTGAATGTTCTACCTCTCTGCTCAGACTACTGACCTCCCTGGCTTCCATTAAGTCCCAACCAAAATACCACATTCTATAGGAAATACTTAATTCCAGTGCTTTCCTTCTTTTAATTATTTCCTATTTATCCTTTATGTAGCTTGCTTTGTGTATATTTGTTTGCATGCTTTCTCCCCCATTAGATTGTCAGCTGCCTGGGCGCAGGGACTGTCTTTTGTCTCTTTTGCCCAGCACTTAGTATGATGCCTGGCACATAATAACAGTTTAACAAATGTTTATTGATCAATTGGTTGATTGAATCTATGCAATATTAACAAATCACAGGGCTCATCACCCTAATATAGATATAAGGTTAGCATTTCCTCACTTAAAAATAAGACAATCCATACATTTTTAGGCATATGATAAACAGATCAAAAACCTATAGAAATGCTTTGGAATGATAGACATTTTTGAAAGAACAATAATAAGGGCAATTATAAGCAAATGTCATTGAATTTGTTGAATTTAACTGAATGTCATGTTTACTTCTGGATAGAGCCTATAAAATAACTAAGATCCAAGAAAAAAACAAAAGACCTTCCATAGGTGACAACAGCTTCATGAATTCAACCAATAGTATGTTGACAAAGAAACATTAAACAAATGACTGTTATGTGGGTTTGTTTGGTAGTCCCACCAGCAGGTTATAGATTGTTTATTGGTATTATAATCTATGTGACATTGGGTAAGTTACTTAACTTCTATGAATCTTGGTTTCCTAATTTAAAAAATGATCGTGTTAGATTAGATGACCATTGAAGTCCATTCTAATCCCAAATCTGTGATCCTAAAATTTTCTTGATTTCTTTTGTCCTCATGGTCTTTTTCATTTTTATGATCTGGATTTATTCTTTTTAATTTCCTGTGATGGTAGTTCAAGATGCAGTCATTGCCACCAGAAATTACAAGAGCATTATCTTTAAGAAGCAGGGACTTAGTGATTAACGTAAAATTATGGAAGGAAATGGTAGGAACGGTTAACCCATCGTTGCAGACTATAAAAATTTAGCACCTACCAAATACCTAGCGAAACATTCCAAAGTGGCTAGAATTGTATATCAGAAGCACAATAACTTTCAGGAACTGACAGATAACAATCCCTCATCCTTCAAATATGGATGCCAAAATATCCTAGAGAATGCAAACAATAAACTATACTGGAACCAGACACACTATGTCATTCTTCAGTTTTCCATGAAACTTCTCCCAGGACTGTTTCTACATAAACTCCATTAAAAAGGATGAGAACATATTAATGATGATGATGACAATGATGACAACGACAATGATGATGATGATGACAATAGCCCAAACTATCCTTGAGAATCAACAAACTGCTGGAATCAAAGTATTATCACAGACTAAAACTGTTGCCCATAATTGTCCAGTCATAACATTGATCCATAATAATTTAAGCACAAAATTTTAAAAATTATTACAGAGCCATCAGTGTCCTTTTATTGTTCTTTTCATTTATACCATTTAGTTGATGTGTTTTTTATTCTCCTTATTCCGCTTACTTCACTCTTTTTTTAAAACTTCAGTTTTATTTTATTTTCAGGTCTGCATGCCTCCCACCTCCATCTCCCTAATAGAGAAAGAAAAAAAAGTCAAAACCCATTACAAACACGTACAGTCAGGTAAAATAAATTCCTGCATTGGATATATATGTGTGTGTGTGTGTGTGTGTGTGTGTATGTATGTATGTATGTGGGTATATATGTACATATTCCTCAGTCTGTGCTTGGAGTCTATCACCTACTTCTTTCTAGGGATGGTTAACATGTTTCATCACACGTGTGTATATATGTATATATATAGGAGATATAGGGATGTGTGCATATCTATGTATACATACATGTACATGCACATATACTTTATATATATGTATATAGAAGCAGCTAGGTAGTTCTTTGGATAGAGCACTAGGCCTGGGGTCAGGAAGACCCGAGTTCAAATGTGGCCTCAGACACTTACTAGCTATGTGACTCTGGGCAAATCATTGAACTTCTGTTTGTCTTAATCTACTTGAGAAGGAAATGGCAAACCACTCCTGTGTCTTTGCCAAGAAAACCCCATGGACAGTATGGCTCATGGGGTAATGAAGAGTGAGAAATAACTGAACAACAACAATAATGTGTGTGTGTGTGTATGTGTGTGTGTGTGTGTGTGTGTCTGTGTGTCTGTGTGAATCCACTAGTAGTCCATCACTTAACTCTGGAGGTGGGTAGCATGTTTCATCATAAATCCTCTGTAATTGTGGTTGGCTATTGTTTTGATCAGAGTTCTGAAGTCTTTCATTGTTGTTTGTCTTTACAATATTACTGTTAATGTATAAGCTGTTCTCCTGGCTTGGCTTACTTTACTTTGCATTGGTTCATAGAAGTCTTCCTAGGTTTCTTTAAAACCATCCTCTTTGTTTCTTACAGCACAATAGTATTCCATCACATTTATATACCATAAATTGTTCATACATCTCCCAGGCAATAAGCACCTTCTCAGTTTCCAATTCTTTGCCACAAGAAAAAGATCTGCTAGAAATGTTTTTGTACGTGAGAAAAAAACATTTTAATAGTTGTCAACATACTCATTATCTCTAAACTACATGGAATGAAAAACATTCAAAATACAGAGAATTAGCAAAAGAAATCAAAACCATGTGAGAATATGTTACCATGCACATTATCCCCATCATCCTGTCCTCTTCTGGAGCTTTCTCAATGATATTTTCAGTGAGCTTTCAGAAGATAAGCTTATATTCTAGTACTTCTTTTCAATTATAAAAAGCAGTCATTTCATTCACTTGTTCCATATCAACTTCAGTGAGAAGGTCCCTGTGGTGGGTCTCTTCCACCATGATAGTGATCCCTTTGATAAGTATACAGCTATTTGTTTTATACTTTCCCTGATGTTTATTATCAAAAGATCATTGAATTGGATTTCTGTTGTTAAATCTTCCAAAGAATCTTGAATAGTTTTGATATGGGGATGGGAGACTCATATTTGTAAAAGAGCCTAAGAGAAGGCATTTTGTTCTACTGAATGAAAAGGTTTTCCATAATCAATAAACCAGGGGTGGGGAACCTGTAGCCTCGAGGCCACATGTGGCTCTCTAGGTCCTCAAGTGTGGCCCTTTGACTGAATCCAAACTTCATAGGATTTATTTTGTAAAACTTGGGTCAAAAGGCCATACCCAACCACCTAGAAGGCCACAGGTTCCCCATCCCTGCAATAAATAAGTCCAATGGGATCTTATATTCTCCATATCTTTCATATAATTGTAGTATGACCCATTGTTAAATATTATTTGCAAAAGTCTTCTCGTTTCCTACTAAAACCCAATTGAGGTGTAATTCTTCAATTCAGGTACAGAAAAATTACTCATAATGATTTTGTATAGATGGGAGAATAGGCATATAGTAATTATTAATTTTCTCTCTTTTCTGTATTAATAAGGTCTGAGATGTTGAAGGTGAGGATGATGAAATCCTCTAGACAATCCTGTCTGTGGATGGCATTGTGCCAATTGCATCAAACCCTGGAATACTGCATAATATCCTGGAAAGAAGTTTGGTTCATACAACCACACAAGAAAGAACAAGTGGATGAAGAATGGCTGTAGCGTAGTTTTTGAAATGCATTTGGTTGGACATGCTTTAGAATTTGTCTATAAATATGTACATCTATCACAGACAAATACAGGTGTACAATGAATTGGGTTCACTGTTAAAGAGAAGAAATAGAATGTGTTGAATTGCCTTCAGGAAATTGGAAAACTATTTTACTAAACTCAAGCTTTCCCACAAAAGCAAAAGTCCATCTTTTTGATACTAACATTCTACTGGTGTAGCTATATGGCAAAAAAAGACATGGGATGCAATTGCCTCTGAAGAATTAAAACTGAGAATCACAGGAGGCAAAGAAGAGGCATGTAGTGTGTATAAGCAGACTGCAACATATAACCAATAAAGAACTCCAAAAAATAGAAATAAAAGGCATCATCAAAGAATTGTACAATAAGAAGAGGAGATGGGTTGGTCATGTGGCAAGAATGAGGACTGACAGTCAGATAAACAGAATATTCTACTACTACTACTCCAACAATATCAGCACATTGAATAGAGTGACAAATTTAGGTGAGGACATATATAAGAATCACACAGGTTGGATAGGCATGGATGTGTTGCAATCTAAATTATTGGGAGAAATTTCTGAATACATGAGATCACATACCATTTCATTACATGCTTTTCAATAAATCTACAGAAGTTGAGCTTATATTCCAATACTATTATTCAATTACAAAAGGCAGATGTTTTATCTACCTGTGCAACAGTCTGAAGAATGTTAAACATAAAATAATAGCAGAATAGAGACTTGTCCTAGGGCACTTTCTATATGAATTCCATCAAAAGATGAGAATGAGATAACAGACAATTTGATTTAGTATATGTTTTTTATCAGAAATTATTACAGACAACTCTATCCTTATAGACTTAAATATCTAAAAGAAATGAAAGATTACTTCAGAAAAATACAGAATTCCAAATTTAACAAAACAAAATATTTATATAACCTACGTAGACTTAAAAGAGCTATCTTGCAAAAGACACCATGCATAGATTCAAAAGTGAATTCTATTAAATATTTAAAGAACAAATAATGCTGATATCATATACAGTAATCCCTTTCACATCACCGGGAGTAGGGACACAGTACTCCCATGATCTGGAAAATCCAAGTAAAATTTTTTGGCTCTATGGTAAAGTGCCAGAGAAGAAGTCTGAATTTTTTCTTTTTCTTTTATGGGGTGTTTTACAGAACCTTGTTGTAAAATTTGGGTTAAGTATTTGATTATAGGCTCTGTGTTATCTTCTGGCCTTTGTGTGCAAAACTCCCAAAAAATTCCTGTTTAATTTCTTATGTTGACCCATAATATATCAAAACCACAATGGGGAAAGTGGCAATGTGGAAGGGATAACTATAGTCTGTTTAAAAGATAAGGCTACCCAATTCCAATTATGAAGCTACTATGATATTGATCCGTATACTTGACAAAGGTAAAATTAAAAGAAAATTATAGACTAGTTATCATCAGTAAGCATTGATGCAAATATATTTAATAAAATACTTGCCAATAAGATACGGCAAATAGTAGATATAGAAAACTATCCATAATGACCAAGTAGGACAGTTAATATAACTAGGAATATAATCAATACAATAAATCATATCAATAAGAGAAAAAATACAGGCCTTATTATATCAGCTGAGTAGGGAAAGCTTTTGACAAAATATAATATTCCTTTATATTTAGAAACATTTTATCATATAGAAATAGATTAGTCTTTCCTAAATATGATTTTTAAAGTATGTAGTCAAAACAGTGACCTAATATCATATACAAAAGAGAAAGCATTGTCATGCATCTCACAGTGTTATTCTGAGGCTCAAATTAGATCAGATATACAAACTGCTTTGCACACTTTCAAGTACTAGATACTTGTATATTGTTATTGCCCCAAATAGATGTAAAATACAATTGTCATTTTTGCCACTGCTATTTGACATAGCCTTAGACATCCTAGCAAGAATAATAAGATGGGCATGAAAGAACAATAAAAGTTAAGAACACTGGCAAAGCAGCCAAAATATCTATATGTATAAATGGTTCAACTGCAAATCTAGAAAATGCAAGTCAAGTCAACAGCAACAACAATATATTGACATAAAAAACGACTGGCAAAGTAGCAGGGTATAGAACAAACTCACTAAAATAACTGGCATTTCTATACAGCAAGGAGAATTGAGGGAAATATATATCAAAAAATACCCTTTAACATAATGACAAAATTCATCAAATATTTGAGAATTAAATTATCAAGAAATGTATAAAAAGACAATAACAATAAAAAGATAATAACAAAAATCAAATAAGAACCAAACAGACAGATAATCATCTGCTCATAGTTAGGTTGAGGAAATATAATAAAAATATATTTTCCAAACTTATTTATATATTTAATGCACACCAGTCAAGATATCAATAGGTTAATTCATAGAATTGGATATAACAAAATTTATAAAGAAAATTTGATTACCAAGAATATCAAGAAAAATAATTTTTAAAACAGGAACTGATGAAGGGATACTTGCCCTACCATATGCCATAAAAATTATTACTGGGGGGGGGAATTGAAAATTAGAGAAGCCAGAAATTAAACTATATCTATTAGACACATACACACACACGAGGTTAATATTTGGCAAACCTAGGTCTCAAAAACACTAGAGATCAGAATTATTTAATAAAAATTTTAAGGAAATTGGATAAATTGGTTTGGATTCATTCTTTATAATAAATACTATATTAGTGATCTAATTTTTTAATAATTTAAAATGGAAAAAAATGAAGATAGCATATTTGTCTTCTAGGCAAAACATTTTATCAATAAAACAAATGAAAAAAATTGGAAACAATGGATTCTGCAGGTGGAAAAAAGCAGTATTTTTTTTAAAATTCTGAACTTTAAAAACATTAATTAAAACTATCATTTCCATCTAAATTGTAGAACAGGAGAGAATTGT